GAGCTGGCAGGGCCCAGTGGAGTCTACTGGGGCCTGAGAGGGCTTGGAGGGGGCTGGCAGGGCCCAGTGGGGTCTGCTGGGGCTCAGTGGGGCCTGAGAGGGCTGGGAGGGGACTGGCAGGGCCCAGTGGGGTCTGACAGGGCTTGGAGGGGTCTGACAGGGCTCAATGGGGTCTGCTGGGGCTCAGTGGGGCCTGAGAGGGCTGGGAGGGGACTGGCAGGGCCCAGTGGGGTCTGACAGGGCTTGGAGGGGTCTGACAGGGCTCAATGGGGTCTGCTGGGGCTCAGTGGGGCCTGAGAGGGCTGGGAGGGGACTGGCAGGGCCCAGTGGGGTCTGACAGGGCTTGGAGGGGTCTGACAGGGCTCAATGGGGTCTGCTGGGGCTCAGTGGGGCCTGAGAGGGCTGGGAGGGGACTGGCAAGGCCTAGTGGGGTCTGATGGGGCTTGGAAGGGCCTGACAGGGCTGGGAGGGGGCTGGCAGGGCCCAGTGGGGTCTACTGGGGTCTGACAGGGCTCAGTGGGGTCTCCTGGGGTTCAGTGGGGCCTGACAGGGCCTGTGCTCACGGCCTCTCCGGGGGGCTCACAGGGAGAGATGCCACCAGAGCGTTTGCCACCGGCGACTTCACCCCGGCGGGGCTGGTGGACGACGTGTCGGGGCTGTCGCCGGGCGAGATGCTGGCCATCCTGAGCTGGCTCTCCTTCTACGGCGACAACTACGAGGTGGTGGGTGAGTGGCTCTGGCAAGGGAAAGGGGGTGGGTGGGCGAGGGTGGGCCTGTGGTTGGGGCAGGTCGGGGGACGCAGCCCTGCGTAGGGCTGGGCTTCATCTACAAGGTGTTGGCTGTGGTGGGGTTTCTTCATCTGCACTGCTGGAGACTGAAACCTGTGAGTGACCGGCTGGAGCTGCTGCTAGATCAGGCCTTGTGTGAGGTCTGCTTTCCTCTAAGGTGAAGCTGAAGGGTTTTCCTCCCCTGGGCTGTCAGCTGCAGCTCTCTGCCCCACTTTTATTCGTCTGGGCTGAGCAGAAGGCTTGGAGCCACCGCTGCAAACACTGAAATTAGCAGGACTTGTGAGAGTGTAGGAGCAGCAGTGCAGGGAAACTATTTTGGGGAATGAGGTGCATGGGTGGGAAGGACTTCTGGGGTCTGCTGCTGAAAGTAGCATTGACTTTCTGGTCTTTAATGAGTCTGTGCCTGTGCTTGTCCTGTGTGGATTTATTAACATGGATAAATTGCTGTGCGATGCAAGAATGGAGGGGATGTAAGCTCAGTTCAGTTTTAAAATTGAACCATGGTGAGATCCTCCTTTTTTTGTCTATAAATAACAAATTAAAAAAACAAACAAACATAACTATTCATTTTCCTTGCCTGGAAACAGTGTGGTCTTAATTGGTCTTCTCTCCCAGGGAAGCTGGTGGGCAGATTCTACGATGAAGATGGGGCACCAACAGAAGCCTTAAGGCAGGCGGAGGCTGCGATTGAGGAAGCTCTGAAGTTCAAAGCAGAAAGTGAGCAGAAGAAGCAGCAGTTTCCACCCTGCAACTCGGAATGGAGCTCTGCTAAGGGCAGCCGGTTCTGGTGCTCCAGACAGAGGTAAACTCTCCCTTCCTGCCATCTTGCTTGGACCTCTTGGAGCAGAGAGTTTCTGCCCTTTTTTTTTGGAATCCTTGAGCTTTGTCATTGTCTGTCCTGTCTGCGTTCCTCAGGCTGTGCTTTCTGACAGGCAGAATGGCTGTTCCCTGCACCAGGTTGAGCTGCTGCTCCTGTGTGAATCAGAGTCCCTAGATTTTCTCTGCCAGTCCAGCGACCACTGGTGGCCTCCACCCAGTCTGGGGTTGCACAGAGGTGTAGGTTGGGCTTGTGAAAATGTTCTCTAGCGTCAGGCAGTGGAAGGGAACTCTGCTCACTGAGCTGCTGAGCGGGTAAAAGGAAAACAAAACTTCATCCCAATGAGTAATTATTTTAGGAACTTTATTTCTGAGGCTAAAACTCTTGTGTCGCACTGGAATCAAAATCAGGTTTCAGAATTTGCCACTTGTGCACGTGCTTCTGTTCTCAGGAAAACAGGACAGAAATCCCACGAGGACAGTCTGCCACGTTCGAACAGGTTTTCTCACCTCTTGGGAGTACAGGGATTAGCTCATGTCTTTCAGACACTTTCACAGCCTGTCTCACAGGCCACTGCCACAACAGTTTCCACTTAAAACCACATAAAAATGAGGTTGAGCGTCAAATAGTCATTTCCTACGTGGCCTATTTAATTGTCTTCCTCTCTAAGTTTAGGGACTATTTTGTCTGAAGGTGAAATAATTTCACAGACCACATTGCAGAATGCTTGGGTTTCATTTTGGTACACCAGAGGCACTGTGTTCCTTGGGGAATCTCCTGCTATGTGTGAACGAGCTTGGGTGCAGCCTTGGCACTGAGTTTTCCGTGGCAATAGCTTGTGTAAGAGTTTATAGGCTTAAAAACCACAGTAGTTAGTGGAACAGGCAGGATTTGACCCATGAAGAGACACTATGAAGTAGCTGCGGAAGTACTTGGAGGCTTTTTTGGGGGATTTGCCCTAATTCTGTAAATCCCCGTGTTCAGTCATGGCACAGAAGGCGGCGCGTGGTTATCTGTGAGCAATCGGCTGCCCCCAGAAAAGGCATTTTGCCATCAGACGTGCCGTGCTCCGAAAGGCTGTGAGTCTTTCTCCAGCAATAGAAACGTGGGGAGCAGGAGGCGGTTGCTCCCAGAAGGGTGAGAGTGGGCAGCAGCACCGACAAAACCAGGTTTGGGCCACAGGTTTCTGAAGCACAGCCAATAAAAGTATCAGAAAGCTGTGGGATGTTGGCTGTTGGGAGCAAAGTCTACCTCAGTGAGTGTATTGTTGGTTCTGAGTCCCCCAGATTGTCTTGGTTTTTAGGTCCAGAGAAGGGCAACGAAGCTGGGGAGGGGTCTGGAGCACAAGTCTTACGAGGAGAGGCTGAGGGAGCTGGGGGTGTTCAGCCTGGGGAAGAGGAGACTGAGGGGAGACCTTATTGCTCTGTACAACTCCCTGAAAGGAGGGTGTAGAGAGACGGGGGTCGGTCTCTTCTTCCAAGTTACAGATGTCAGGACAAGGGGTAATGGCTTCAAGTTGCGCCAGGGGAAGTTCAGGTTGGATATTAGGAAACATTTCTTTACTGAAAGGGTTATCCAGCATTGGAATGGGCTGCCCAGGGAGGTGGTGGAGTCCCCATCCCTGGAGGTATTTAAGAAACGTGTAGACATGTTTCTTCAGGGCATGCTCTAGTGCCCAAGATTACTGGTTTGTGGTGGGGTGCTGTGTGGGTGGGTGATGGTTTTTGGGTTGGTGGTGGTTGTTGGGTGTTTAGGTGGTGGGTTGTGGTTTGTGTTTTCTGTGGTGTGTGTGTTTTTTGTTTGTTTGTTTGGTTGGTTTTTTTTGTGGTTGGACTCGATGATCTCTGAGGTCCCTTCCAACCACTACGATTCTGTGATCTAACGGATCTCAATTCGGGGCTTGAATTGTAATTGATTTTAATTTTCCATTCTTAGTGGGGGAGTGGACAGAGACTGGGTCGGAGTCCCTCGGAAGCTCTACCGTCCTGGTTCCAGGGGGAGTCACTGCGTGTGTGTGAGGACTACTGGGCCACCGTGGGGCCAGCCGGCCTCCAGCCCCCACGGCGACCGGGGTGACCTGGATGACCCTCACCTGGAGGAATACGACGGCTGCCACCCCCTGGCCCACCAGTGTGTCCTCACGGGGACGTAGAGTCCCACAGCGAGACCTTGGGTGCCCTTTGGGTGGGCAGCTCCAGCTTCGTGCCCTTCCCTCTGCGCAAAGGGAGCGGGAGAAATTTGGTGTGATTTGTGGTTCTTTTTTAATGCATGGAGATGAGAGAAGGAGAAAATGCTTGAGCCAAGTTAGTGGCTAAAAAAAAAATATGCTGGCTTTCTTAGTGCTTTATTCCTATGGCAACAAACCCTAAGATGCACAGCCTGAATTATATTTAAAAACTGATTTCTTGTGCAGGCAGGAAGTAGCTGCCTGTGTGCACGGTGGTGGGTGCAACGTGTTGTGTTTTAAGGCAGCTCAAGAGCTGCAGCATCACCCACCTCGATCTATGCTCAGTCCTCTGGTCCTTGAACTCTGCTGTAGCACTAGTGCCCTTCCCAGGCATCCCATTTACTCCCAGGAGTTTAAAGGTAGTGGGGAGAAGCGTGAGTTTCTCCTACAATTAAGGTAGGTAGTATCTAAGAACTTGGGCAGTCATTACACACAAGCTTTATTTATTTATCAGATTCTTGGAGTACAGAAGGCAAAGGTCACAGCTGTAGTTCCTCGTGTGGTGTTTATATTAGACACTGTGCAAAGAAGATACTGGAAGCCTCCTATGGGGATCATTGTTTTATGTTGACCTCGCCATCCTGCTCCTCTGATTCATTGCTTCCAAACTACTCAGGTCAGGAGTGGGGAGATTTAAACAGGCACTAAGAGAAGCTGTGTGGCAACGTGGCCATCCTGTAACCTGCCTCCTGGTTCCATCCTGCTGTACGAGCTCCCAGCTGGTGTGTGTCCGTCGGGCGATCGGCCCAGGCTGGATGTCTCCTCACAGGGGCCACCTCCCCTCAAGACAGTCCGTGTTTTAATTCAGTAATAGGAGTGAATCCCAAAACGGGGCAAGTTATTACCATTTCTGTGCAGGGCAAGAGGGCTACCTGTGTGAGGCCTGGGTGCTGTAAACCCCACGCCACAGGGAAGCAGTTGCTGTTTTTCATAGACTCTACTATTAGAAGTCAGTTTCTGGTGCAGCTGCAGTTTTAAGAGAGAGAGAAAATAACCCCCTGCACCAGGACAATTTGGGGGCTGACCTGCTGGAGAGCAGCTCTGAGGAGAAAGACCTGGGAGTCCTGGTGGACAACAGGATGGCCATGAGCCAGCTGCAGAGCAGCGCTTCCTTGTCTCCACAACTTAGTGGCCATTACAAGCGTCAGCAGGTCATTTGCTTTTGGACACATCTTAACAAGAATTTGCATTTAGAAGCCAAACCATTCCCCAAAATCATTGGCCAGTGGCTTTAAAAGAGCTTTAAAAGTTACAGCAATTTCCAGATTATTATTAATTCCAGATTATTTCATAATTTAGCGTTTAGAAGCACTGAGGGGGAGGTTTCTCTTGCAGTAGGAGTGTCATCTATTAAAGCAGAGGAGACTCCTTCACTGACCTGAACTGCTCCAAGATGAGCTTGTTTCTACTCCAGTTAAACAGCTGTCTGTCCATCTATCCATCTGATAGGAAAGGGTGAGAGAAAACCAGCGACAGTTACACAGGGGTCAGTTCAACATAGACCATTCTCTAATGAAGCTCAGAATTCATCTGTGGTTTAGTAAGTTTTATTAATAAAAGACTAGTGTGTCACAGTCTCACCCAGATGGTGGGGTTGGTTTTGCTGTTGCACCGGAGCTGCCCTTTCCCTGCAGTGAAGCTGGAGCAGGTACAGGCTCCTCCAGGCCCCCCCACTGCCCACCAGGGCACAGACCAACACTCAGCTTCTCCACCGAGCTGAGAACTGATTTACATCATGGACCAGCTCTGGCCTGGAAGAAGTGATTTTTTTTCATCAGAATGACTACAGATGAATCTCATAAGGCATTTCAGATGACTCTATAGGATAAACACCAGACCTTGTCAGCCAGAAGAACAGTTGTAGCGGTTCCCCACCATTAACATTTCAGAGCAAAGAATAAAGTTGTCCCACCCAGTTCAGTGTCACAGCCCTGGTTTCCCTTGCTTGCAGAGGGGCAGCTGTCTTTGCAGGAGAAGATCTTTTCTTAACAAGGTTCCCACCTCACGCTGCATTATCTAGTTATGCATTTTATTACAAGTAGAATTATTACACAACAAAGTAATGCATATTGGAAAAATACATTTTTACAATGACTCCAGACAAACATTGCAGATAAAATGCCATTGTTCTAAGACTTCCTTTTCTATTTCACAGAGGGTAGTAGAAGGTTCAGAGTTATTTTTTTGTCACTCATACAAGCTTTGATTTCTATTTCTTTTTTTTTTTTTAAGAGATTGCTCAGTACCCAACTCCACTGGTTACAGGAAAAAGAGGACTTGCCTGTTAACGTTTGATCTACAACAAAACCCAGCCTTGGCCTCCCAAATTGTTACGTGTTAATTTCTAAGCACTAGGTGAGGGGTTGCACGAGCCACGGGTCTCCAGCACGGGAAGTCGTTAAGGCATCTGTCAGTTTTGACCAGCAGCTTGCGATGCGCCGTTAGTACCTTCAACACCAACACTCTCACTCCACATAGCGGTGTGAAACAGTGACTATACCTTTTTTTGCAGATACACAAAATTAAAAACTTAAGCCAGACCACATTTTGTGCTCATGGAGGAGCATGGGATGACTGCAAGCAAAAGGAATCCAGTCTGGGAACAAAGCGCTACAGTAGGAGCCACCACAGACCTCCCCTGTGGCCCCACTGAAGTGCCTGAAGCCTGGTGTGACAGCAAAAAACCCCCAGAAATTAGTTTTCAATCCCCCTTTTTGTTCCACAAGTTAATAGATACCACTCAAAGACAGCAGGGGTAGGAGGGGTGGGGGGTTTGGTCACAACTGTGATGTGCTACAAAAAGGAAGAGGAGTTGTTTACAGAGTTAGAAATGTGTTGACCACCACTACGTCACCGAGTGCCTCCCTTCAGGTCTGTACCCTGCAGTGGAGCATTGCCAGCAAAACTCCCCAAAAATGTCCAAAGTGAGAGAATTCAGACCAATTCTGGGCAAAGGGCATCAAGGACCAAGCCCCACCAGTTGTCTGGAGGAAAGTCAGCCTCTTTAGCTGAAGCACTACAAAAGAACTAACCTGGGGTTTAGTTCAAGCTGTGAGCTTTTCCCCTTTAACTCTGGCAGAAAGCTATTTAGTGTTGGCTGGAAGGAAACTTATCTCCAAGGCACTTCAAAAAGATCAAATTTGCTGAATTCAGTTTGTTTTAAATTGAACATTTCAGGCTGTACATTAGTTTATCACTAACTTTGCTTTCAGACCTCAGTAAGAAACCTGGTACAGTATTGGCTGTAAAGAGCAAACTAGGAGCATCACATACCATTTCCCAGACTTTTCCCAGAGTTTGGGGCAGCTATAGTTAATATTCTCATTTTAAAAAGAGCAACTAGCCAGCCTTAAACCTGCCATTGATTCACAAGATCTACATTTTTCATCATTTAAAAGGTTGCTTATTCTGTTAGAACAGAGCTCCCCGTTCCCTTGCCCCCTCCATCAGAGAAGTCACCGGAAAACAGGATGTTTAAAAGCTTTAGCAATTAACATGTTGTGCAGCTTTCCAATTAAGTAGAAGTCCATAGGCTGTGGCCACCACTCCTCTACCACTACCCTTCAGGATCCAGAGCTCACACTCACTGCTCCTTAGCACTGTAGCTCCAAACAAAGAGTGAAGTCAACATGATCTCATGGGATACGCTACAGTCAGCACTTCTTTCATCAAATGCACTCTCTCTCCATGATCACTGTCTTTCACTGCTCAAGCCCTGCAGCCAGTGATGCTCTGAACCATCCAGTCCACTGCTTTCTCAAGTACAGGGTTTTCCATCATGTTTCACTCAAAAAAAACACAAATCCCCAAACTGTAGTTGCAGTTAAATGCTTCAGACATGATTATTTTCCACCCCTAACGCCAGCGATGCACCGTTTGTATTCACTGTCACAGAGACCAGTTGTGTTACCCAGGGCATTCTGTTGGCACACGACAGCAGCAGACACCAAACAGTGAGGCAAATTTGTATTAATCGTCCATTATTCTTCTCTAGTGTTACAAGGGTGAGATTCCAGTTATAATCTACTCATATTGGAAGATCAAAGTGCAGATCATGTGAGACTTGATGCGAAATTCATCGTGCAAATGTCAGCAGTTACACCCTCTCCCATCCTTTTCTTGTACAAGTTTGAGAAAAACCCTCTAGTGAATCTCCCCCAGCAGCAGCAGTCTGGGTCACCATCCCATCTTACTCTGACATCACTCTTCCAACTTCTCCATCCTGTACACTGGGGCTAACAGTCATTAAATAAACAGTTCATGGAGCAGGGATGAGGAATGCTGAGCTGAATCTAAACTAGGTTCATCTCTTGGGATGAAAACAGCCTTAACGTGGCATGTAGTTTTGCTAAAGTACACTATTTTTCCCCCCTGACTGAAGCCCTTGCCCACCAAACCATAACTTTGTCTAACAGCAGTTCTCTCCTGTTTAACTAGATAACGTGGTGCTGGATTTTTGTAGATTCAGCATGTTTAAGAGAGCACGACCAGCCTAGATTAGGATAATGCGATTTAATCCAAACGCCTGGCACAGCTCTGCCAGTTCAGAATCCCTCCTCCAAGGCCAGAGGCTTCATGTTAACAGGAAGCCTCCAAACACACTCCCACTGACCAGCCATCCTGCTGAAACTGGACCCAATTCAACGCCCAGAGGTGCAGCACACTTTATACTGGTAGGGTCACTGACTCTCCTGCAGCAGTTCACCAGGGTCTTGGAACCAAAGGGAAGTGCTACTGTCCCTCATGGGATCCATAATGCACTTCAGCATTTATTGCTGTGAGTTAGACTATTCAACCAGTTTTAGTGTTTTCAACCATTTAGCAAACACTTAGGCCTTTCAGCACACTTCTGTTTGTTTATACACGAATTGGAAGGACTAGCAACGGAAATATGAAAGTGCAACAAAGACTTTGACAGCTCTAGCAGGTATGAGCAAAAGTATTTAACCAGCTAAAACCAACTTTGCACTTCTCTTGAACATGCTAAAGCGAATGAGACGTTTACTGGAGGAGGTATCAAGAGGTGGGTCTGCAATTCTGACTGCTTTGCATCAGATGGTGTAAAGCTTTCTGTTGTAAGGCCACAATTCTGGAGCTATGCTTAGAACTACCCCCCGTTTTTTGAAGAGTTTCTTGAAATGAACAGTGGTTGTAACAGCTCAGTCTAGCTTCACCAGAGGTCTTCTCTAGAGAAAGGGAACGTTTATCTTTAAGACAAAGCAAAAAAAAAGGATACCTGGTTACCCTGAAACTTAATGCCGTCTCTACTAAGCAGCCTGAAAGCCACAGGACTTAATAGAGTTGCTCAGTGCAAAGCACCATGTCAAGGACACACCTGTTTTACATCAATTCAAACATCAGCCCAACAATTTTCACTTCCATACCCCGCTGCAACTAGAAGAGGGTCCAAATTCTTTTTTGTCACTTGGTTTCAAACGATCCACTCGAATTCCTAGTGAAGTCTATCACAGCCCGATACATTTACAGTCATACAAAGTCATTTATACCAGAATATATCATAACAGGGTCCTTAATTAGTTCAGTCTATTGCAGAAGACATATATAGGCCTCCTCTTCCCTATCCAGAGGGCTTTAAGCAGAGCTGCTGTCGGGAGCACTGACGGAGAATCCCTTTGCTTCCCCAGGGTACTAGGAGACTCCTCCCAGAGTCAGGACGTCAAAGCAGATGTTGCAAACTCGAACGGGCTTGTTCAGGTCAAATTTTATGATAGGAATCTCCTTTGTTGAGCACTTATGGCAGAGCAGGCGTCCACAGTGTCGGCTGTTGATACAAGAGGGGTGGGAGAGAAGTGAGTTCACTCACAGTGAACACCTGGACTTTACAATTTGGCATTCTTCAGTGATAATATCGCTAAAAAGGTTCAGTAGCAACTGAAATGCTACATTTTTCTTACATCTTCTGCTATCTCTCATGCAATAACTGGATACTAATGCCAAAAAGCATGTGCTGATTCTAAACTAGTCTGTCACCCAGCACTATAATGGACGTGGGTGCAGTTTCTCTGGAACACTGAAGTCTCAGCTGCACTAAGAAAAAAAGTCTTAGCAACTTCCATCTAAGCCAGCGTATCTTGTTAAGAAAAGGCAACTCATCTCCACAAGAGCAACTCACCTCAGCATCTTCAGTCATTTCCACATTCCAAACATCATCCCTAACCCTGGCTGGCACAGGCTGCCCAAATCTGTCACCCATCTCAGAGCAAGGTCAGCCCCACTTCTGAAAGCAGGTGCCAAATCCTCTGTTTCACTACTGGAACTTTGACACGATTTCTTATTTCCAAGAAATCAGAATATGAAATGCACAAACAGCAGACAAGAAGTTACTGATCTAGGACACAGAATGTTTCAGCTGGATTACAGGTTATACACCTGTGTTAATACCGAAGTTTCCTAAACAACCAGAAGGAACAAGCCTGGCTACATTTGGGAAAGGAATCCATTTCCTCGTGAGCCCAGCAAGATGGGTCATTACCAGTGATGCTTTCTTGTCGTGACTCCAAATTTGGCAGTGCACTCGTAGCAGTTGGAGCCATCACACCAGGGAGGTTCTTTTGTCAGCATATCTGTTAGAGGCAAAAATGTAAAGGGAAAATGGGCTCAGACACCTCTCGAGCACACTGTAACCTTAAGGAGGCTTTCTCTAGTTTCAGGCCGCACTCAGGGTAATTGATTTAACTACCCTTGCAGTAGCTGCAGTCTTGTTTGTAGAAAATGTGATGGCTGATGAAAGCAACTATATATTACCCACAGCAACTATATAGTACAAGTTAAAAAGCAGTATCTAGATCTTAATCTACATTAGACTATGACACCAGCCAGGAGTCTCCATGTCTATCCTTACAGAAAAAGTATTTAAGTTTGACAAGTTTGCACCGTGCAACTTTTTAGTTGATCTGAGAAAAATTAGTATTTCCATGCTCCATTTAAAGTAGTAGAATATTCAGAAGTTCAGCCCCTCTGAAATTATTGCCATCTAAGTCCAGAGATCTTTCCACCACCAAAGTATCTCAGAAACATAAGCTAAAAGCCCTTTCCAACTGTAGCAGGCAGTACTCACCCAGCAATCTAAAGAGAAGCTGTTTTGTAGCAACTTGGTAGTTGAAGATATTGACTCCTTGATTATTGTTAACTCCAAGCCGAGCCCCAGCTCTCACTATTGCACGACACAAGTTGGCGTTTCCCTTCATGTAAGCCAAGAGCAGCACTGAAAAAGAAAAGCCAGATACTTCCCTGCTTACAGAGTGGTAGGGCTTGTGTTACACTCAGTCCAGAGTAGGATCTTTAGTTCTTTTAAGTTTCCGTGCAAAGTTTGCATCTCACTAGTATTTAACATACTACTGCCAATTATTCCAGCTCTAAGAGTAATTTGAATGACTTTCAAGTTTAGTAGCTGTTGGATCTCACCCACCTGTGTTTCCTTCAGCATCAGGCTTGTCCAGAGGGTACTCTGGCATACACTCCAGGAAGAGGTCACAGATGGCTGCTGCATTATCTTTCCCATATTGTCCCAAAATATGCATTGGTGACTGGCCTCTGGGGAAAAAGAGTTTTCCATCCTGATCAAAGTCTGCTTGCTACTAGGACTTACTCATCCAACTCATTTTTACAAAGTTAGGTGTACCACTGTTTGACCCAGAGTAACTCAGTACATCACACACAACTGTCTACTTCAACTTCTTTGTCTTGCTATACATGATTTCCACACAACTCACACACAGCATGCTCTGCACACTTCACTGTAAAATTAGTGTAGAAATACTATAATACAAGCCAAATCTTTGTTGTTTTTATCTAGTCATACCAGCACATATTTTAAAATACAGCATGTTTCTTTTAGCCTGTGATTACCTAACGTTAAAGGCTTCTGCGTCCACATTGCACTCTGTGAGGAGGACCCGGATGTTGTTCAGACGGCCGTGCATCACTGCCAGATGGAGAGCTGAAAGGCAGAAGAGAAGCTTCAAGAATCTGAAGTAATGTCAATAATAATTACAGCCCCATAACATTAAGCACTCCCCTTTCATTTTCCCCACCATCCCTCTCCAAAACTCCTTCCGCCAGCTTTGATTTCTTGGACTTTCCTTCTCCTTTTCATCTTTGAAGAGTGAGCCCATTCAAGGGCCTGTCCCTACCACTAAGAGATACTGGTATTATCAACAGACCTCCTCAAGTGTTTACAGCAGTTTGTACATCTTTAGAAGTTTACCGTTATTTCCATTTTCATCTACAGCTGCAAAGTCTACTCCGTTCTCCAGAAGGACTGAACAAATTGTGGGCAAATCCTGCTGGGCTGCCAAGTGAAGAGCAGTCTGACGGTGCTTAGTCAGTTCATTCACCTGGGCACCTGCAAGCAGCTGTCAAGATGCAAGAAGGAATATGTTCAAAGACATTTCCAAGGGCTATTAGCCAACAGTTAACTTCTGCCAATGAAGCACACAAGACTCCAGTGTACAGAGATACTCCTAGGCCTCCAGCACATATAAAATGCTATCACTACTGAGCTGTTGCAACTTGAGTTCACGTTCTGATCTACAGACAGCACAAGGTAAAGTTCTTCCTTTAAAGTGAGCCACGTTACCAAGCAATTGCTGCAGATCAGGCCTGCTCACACAAAGGCTACTGATACAGCTCAGCCAATGGTACCAGCTCAGGGAACTTTATGCAGCTCTGAGTTAGAATCACAGAATGGCTTGGAAGGGACCAAAAAGATCACCACGTTCCACCCCCCCACCCTGGGCAGGGACACCTCCCACCAGACCAGGTTGCTCCAAGCCCCCTCCAACCTGGCCTTGAACCCCTCCAGGGATGGGGCAGCTACAGCTTCTCTGGGCAACCTGGGCCAGGCTCTCACCACCCTCACAGCAAGGAATTTCTTCCTAATATCTCATCTAAATTAGTTCTGCTTCAGAAAAAGCAGTATCACCTTCAGCTGACTTCTCCAGCCTACAGGCAATGTGGATTAAGGCAGAATGTGCTTTTTTTAAGTAGAGGAAGAGTGAGTCTCCAGCACATACCAGATTACGCACGATGATCTCCGAGCCAGCCTGGACAGCCAGGTGCAGAGGTGTTAGTTTGGAGGCATCCTGGACCCGGGAGTTCACATTTGCCTGCACACTGATCAGGAACAGCACACTCTCAATGTCTGAGTTCTGAACAGCTACGTGGAGGAAATTCCGACCTTTATTATCAACCTGTGGCAGACAGGGCACATGAAATGAAATTTATTATTTCTGTAGAACTGCAAGCTGTTATGTAGTAGAATCATAGAATCGTCCAGGTTGGAAGAGACCCTTGGGATCATCGAGTCCAACCATCTCCCCTACTCTACAAAGTCCTCCCCTACACCATGTCCCTCAGCACTGTATCTAAACGGCCCTTAAACACAGCCAGGGACATAGTAGGACATATTTTCACTGAGAGAGACTTGCTCCTTCTACTTGAGATGAGCTGTAGAGTCTTTTCCTTTCACTGCTTGACGTTAGAGACTTATTTCATAGATATGACTATCAAATAACTGAACTGAGGAATTATCAGCTGCAACTGCTCACCCCAGCCTGCTTCAGACTACTTTATTTATACTTTATAACCTTGTCATTTCTCAACCACGCTCTGAAGAGCATTATGACAGACAAAAGGTTAACAGCTGTTGTAGTAAGTACTGAGCAGCAGTTAATGATAAACTCAGTTAAGTGAAACAAACTCCAGCCAACCTGGCAGTTACCAGAGAAGCAAGCAACACGCAATCCTGCCACACTGCTGCAAAGTGTATTGATTTTTTGGCTTCACACCAAGCACATGTTGTTCCTCATCTTTGCGTTGAAGCTAATGTTAAAGCACACTTAGAGCCAGTTGTATTTCTAACCACATTTTAGATATATTACCAAAGCTCACTAAGCACTCAAATACTTTACTAGCAATTAAACTTACATAGGGTAGAAAGAAACTCCTCAACAGCTGCCTGAGTGACACACCAGAAGCCTGAAGATACAGTTGGAGGTTTTATAGTTCAGCAGTACAGCGTTGTACCTATTATTCAGTTATTTTAGGGCAGGGTTTCTATTTCTGATAGCTTTAGGAAAGCTAGGGAATAGATTATTTTTCTACTAGTCCAGCACAAGAGTAGAGTTAGAACTGTCTCTTTACACTCATGTTCCTCAATTTAGCACTGACAAGATGAGATCAAGCTTGATGAGACACTTGGTGTTCTTACTCATACATCGCACGTACACACCTACAGTTTCCTAATAAATCCTGCTCCAGAAAACTAGCATCTGGCAAATGTCATTGCATGTAAAGCCACAAAAGGATACAGCAGAATTTGCTTGTGGAACACCAGTTAGCACAGACTAGCACAGTAAAGCCACCAGCACACCTGAACACTGCCCACTTACCTGTTCAGCAGCTCCGGGCTCCCGCTTCAGAATCGCTTCGGCCGCTTTGTTATTTTTATACGTCATCGCACACGCGAAGGGGGTCATCCCTTGCCTGTCACGTACATTCAGCTTAATATCTGGATGTGAAATCATAAGCTGAATGATAACATTATGCTGGTTGCTAATGGCAACGTGGATTGGAGTTCTTCCTTCTGCATCCTGGAAGGAAACCAGGAAGTTTGTTACATGAAGACTCTGCAATACACAAATCCCTCCCGAACTCAGAAAAGCAGAAGCAGCTTATTAGCTAAGTTCTGTGACAGACCCAGCTGCCTTGGGCTGGGACACCACCACAGCACAAGTGAAGTGAGTTGGTATTTGTTTCTCCAAAGAGCTTGGCCTCAATCCTGTGCCAGAGCCATTTAAGCAGCTCAGAGTAACATTTCCCCAGACATTTTGGGGGCAGAGATGAGCATTTGAGACTACAGCCAAGCGTTCCAAGAGAATGCTTTTAAAACTGAAATCAGTTTGAAGCATTTGCTGTTCATACTTTATTAAAAATTGATTTCTACAAATTTTTATCTGAAAGAACAACATACAGACTGCATTTCCACAGATCCAGCACTGCAGAGACTTCCCCAGATTGGCCCTTGGGCACTAGTGCTAAGCTTTCTGGAAGCTAAACATTTGGAACTTCCCTCACTGAAGATATAACAGGATCAGGCATGTTTGTTTTGCAAACAGTGTATTAAAGTCTAGCAAATTCAAACAAGGTGTTTAATCACTTGTCTGTATCAAGCAGCAGTTTACAGCCACAGCTGCTTTGTGACTGGGTTCTGCCATTCATTTTCCTGTCATTTTCAATAGCATCAGGAGCCAGAAATGTCACACATTCATCTCTTTTGTGCTATTTGTCAAGCTTCTGTTTCAGGATTACTGTGTAATCAAAAATGAAGTGTAACTCATAGTTACATCACCCCAGTTTACTCAGTAACTGATGACACTTCCCAAACATACTAACAAAGTAGAGTATTCTGGTGTTTTGCACTATAGCTGATCTAATGATTAATTGCAACAGGTAACAGCCTTTAATTCACACTGGGGACAGAAGACTTGAATTTCAGTCATTGCATCAAAAAACTGACACTGCAAGAAGTTCTCTGTATCATTATTTTCCCTCCGTGTAGCTTCCTGCATTTGAATTAATCCATCATATGGGCAGATAAACACTACATTTGGTAACCAGGGACAGGGAGAAAGAAAAAGTAGATCTGCAGCCAGTCACCACATTGGCTCAGCCATAATAGAAGGATGTTCTTTTTCTTATCTTGCAAAATACACAGCTAAGAGGGAAGCCTGTTTTCACTACATTAGAGGCAAATAATCAACTTTAAAGAAAGCGTGCACTATTTCTGTATGTACCTGAGCATTGACATTGGCACCAAACTCCAAAAGGCACTGGATCACCTCTTCTAGTCCCCAGCAGGCTGCCAGGTGTAGGGGTGTCTGTCCATCATGAGCTTCCTCTTCTCCTTCTCCATTTGGGCCTGGCTTTCTGGGACTATTCACATCACAACCACTAAAACAAATACAATACAATCAATTTATTACATTTAATCCAGATTTAAACTGCTCCAAACAAGGATCAGAAAGGTTTTCACGAGCTGATCTAGCTGGCACATTCTACATAAGCACAAGTTCCTGGGTTTAGTTTGACTTTTGTCACCAAGAAGATGATGCTAATATAGATAACAGAATGTGTCAGATTAGTCAGACTTCCATGAGTGCCATCCACCCACCAGAAGTCTAATGAAGCACACACCTGTTACTGACTCAAATGAACATTCAATTAATTTATGCCAGGAAAATATGTACATACACATTAGAAGGTTTGTATTTGAGAAGGGGGGCTGACCTGCGGATAAGAAAACACGCTATTTGTTCACTGTTCTCATCAATAGCTCTGTGAAGAAGAGTTTGTGAGCAGCCACTTGGTCCTGACCCCCAACAGGTTGAATCACAGCCGTGTCTGACCTGGAAGGAGAAGCACAATGAGGCAGTGAAGTGTTTTTTATGTTTCCAGCAGGGTCCTACTACTTTATATAGTCCCTGACTAGTGTTTCTGAGACATTATCCCTTAGAGATAGAATTTAAGATGCCTTATCTATTTTTTGTGACAGTCACCAAGCTTCAGCAAGCTACTTTAATGTCTTCTGGGCCAATTATTTTATTGGTCTACTATGGAATACTTAACTAGGTAGTGTTTACTAACAATTCAGATGTTCACGGATACACCCTGAACAGAGAGGTCTTAAGCCAGTTTGGGGAACAGTCACCTCCCTTTCAGCACCTAAAGCAAGTCAAGCAGGAATCACCTGTGAAGGTCTTGGCCCCTTTACTTGCTTTCCTATACATTTAACTAGAGATAGTGTTTTCCAGGTATTTCTAATATTTGTATTCTACTACTATGGAACTATTTACTTGAGCAGTGTAGCACTAAATTAGACTTGTTCCACTCCACTTTACAAACTATTTACAAGGTTTATATATGAATAGTTTCAGTGCTGACTCCGTAGTCTTATCCAATATTGGTACAAATGGTCAAGTACAGTTATTAGAGGTATTTCTCAGCTCATTAGGAGAGCTTTTAAGCAGCCTGTCTCTAGCAGACAATAAAAGCTTTGTCTCTGAGATCCAGTTAAGTAACTACCTTACAAAGAAGACATAAAGAGGTCTACTTATGTGTCCTAAGAAGTCTCCTGCTGGATCACCTATAAAGTAAATAGCCCTAAAAGCGAATATAAGCCTTTAAAGGACTTGATGGAACTTTATGATGCAATAAAAGACACCACATGCATATGGGTGTTCAGTTTTATTCAGGAAGCCTTTCATTACACAGGTCTGGTTCGCTACAGACTAATGTTTTCAGTAGATCCTCACTCTTTCCAAAATCAGGAAGCCAGATAGCACATTCTAAACTTTTACAGTGGCTGCAAGATATTTGGCTATACAGGCTACAGTATTTATAAAATGTTTCCTACAAAAAGGAACTTCTGATGAAGAAAAACCTCTAGAAGTTAGGTAGTGGTACAGAACTAATCTGTTCTTTTCATGTGCTGAATCATGTGCTGGTGAGCCCTTTGTTGCTAGCACGACACACAGAAGTGAGACTAAACCAAGTCTTACCAGAGTTGATGCAATATCTTCCAGGTTGTTCTCTAAGGCAAGCCACAAAGGAGGATTTCCTTTCTCATCTGGCACGGACATGTCAGCTCCCCTGGTACAGATGGCATCAACCACCAGGGGGAGCTGGTTCTTTATGGCCAGCTGTAGGGCAGTCTCTCCATCCTGCGTTCTGCAATACACACAATTCCAACCCTGTTACTACTACATTAAAAAGTAAGGCCTCGTGTCACAGCAGTTTATAGGCAGAGCCAAGAATTACATCCTCACGTGTGTATTTTTGCTGTAGTAAGACCATGTCCCTACAGCTAAGCAAACATTTCGTGTTAGTTTTTCATTACAGCTATGTAGTTTACCCTTCTTCCCTCCCACTTCAGTAGCAAGTGATTGATTTCTGAAGTCTGAAAAGCCTGTGAGTGTTCTTAGCTCTGAGACACTCATTTCCTTAAGTGCAGCCACCGTTTGAACACAGTTCCTTCAGAGCAAGCCCTGCTGCCACAGAAGCAAACAGCTTTGTGGTAACACTTCAAGCAACAGTCAGGAATACCAGCTGTTAGAAAACTGAAGTCAGAACAACAGTATTAGACAGTTTGTACCCATAGAATCATTTAGGTTGGAAAAGACCCTTGGGATCATTGAGTCCAACCATCTACCCTACTCTACAAAGTTCTCCCCTACACCATATCCCCCAACACCACATCTAAACAGCTCTTAAACACATCCAAGGATGGTGACTCAACCACCTCCCTGGGCAGCCTATTCCAGTCTCTGACCACTCTTTCTGTGAAAAACTCTTTTCTAATGTTCAGTTTAAACCTACCATGTTGTAGCGTGAAGCCATTCATTACAGCATAGCCCACAGATTTCAAGGGCAGCCTGTCAGCCCTCTAAGCAGCTAAATGTTTTGTTCAGTCCAATAACAACTTGTCTGCGAGACACACAGGAGACAAGTTCTATTGGAATCTTGTTGCTGGAGCTACATCTGATTAGTTTAGACAGCAGAAGACATGCAGCTCCAACAAGCTGGCAAACAGATGAGACTGCGTAAGTTCAGTCCCACATCTCTAGGACTTGAGAATCTGTTAGAGGATTCTGCTTTACTTAAAATTAAGTGGCACCTCCCTCTGCAGCTTCAAGAGGAGGAACTGACCAATAGAGCTATATACATGACAAGTTCACACATGTAATCCAGAACAGGTGCCGTAAAACGCACCAAATGCATAACTATGCACAAACCTTGACCTGAAACCAACTTCAAGCCATTATACAAAGGCAGCCATCACTACCCGCTCCTAAATATGTACCCAGTGGAGTGCTGTATAAGTTAAGATCTTACCTGACGTTTATATCTGCCTGGTGTTCCAGCAAGAAGAGCGCACTCTTACTGTCCTGCCTCTGGATCGCCATGTGTAACAGCGTCTGTCCGTCCGACATGGTGTCGTTGATGGAGGCCCCAGACCCAAGCAGCTGGGCTGCTATCGTGTGCATGCCTGAAGGGATACAGCTCATTACAGTAAGAGATGCACTGAATCAATGCCAGAGCCTCTTAAAATTAACATACATAAGCTAAACCAACTTGGGATTCCACCCAGCTTCAATATTCATTCACAGACTTCCCAAATATTGATTATTGAGTCCTTTTAGCCTGGCTTAAAGACTCAAGTATGGTGTGGTACACAACAGAGCTTTCCATCTGCCAACTGTAGTAGAGTCCTCCGTAACTTACCTAGCCTAATCCTTCAGATTTTTGTCCAAACATATTAATTTTTGGTATTACATTCATAAGCTATTCCCTTAAGTGTTACTGTATTAGATGTTTAACTTAGTTCATAGAAATCATAGAATGGTTAGAGTTGGAAGGGACCTTAAAGATCATCAAGTTCCAACCCCCCTGCCCTTGGCAGGGACACCTCCCACTAGACCAGGTTGCTCAAAGCCCCATCCAGCCTGGCCTCCTCCTCTATCTCAGAAGCAGATAAGGGCAAAGGTAGAGAGCAATCTACATTTTGTTTTCTTTTTGTCAGAAAGTAAAGTGAAAAGCCTGGACAGTGCAGATGTTTGTTACATATGGATGACATCCAGCATCCCTGACTAAGCATTCTGCTTCATCTCCAAAGTCCAGAGTATGAGCAGTAACCCCCATACAGGTCCTACTTCCAGCTCAGTAGGACCATACATAAATCAATTCAACAGTGACCACACCACCTCCTTCTTTTGACAGTGTCCTGATACTGCTAAAACGACACTTGTCTGCAAACAAAAATATCTACTTTCCCCCAAAACATCCCCCTCCACAGTTCAGGAGAGAAAGCATCTTCTGAATCAGGATTTCAAGTCCCATACCCCTTAATAGCTACTTAAAGTAGCTCACCTTCCTTTTGTAAAGGTCAGCATCACTGTATTAACCAACATCTAGAACAAAGTTAGCCATAAAGAGACAATATTATCTGATATAAAAACTACCAGGGAGTTCTCAGAACTACAAGTAGTCAGGGGCAAGAGGTTCCAGGCTACTTGATGGCGAACAAGAAAAGTTCATCAGTAAATCACACATGAACATTCAGTTTTAGAAGCTGAAGAATCATCTAAAGCTCTCCTTGACAGCTGCTCACTAGCAGCACAAGCCAGGACATGAACAGACACTTGCTGTTTTGTCTTAAAAAATGTCTTATCCACATCATGTTCACATCAACAGCTTCCATTTCTTTGTAAGTTCTCATCTTCTTTTGAAGGCACATACCTGTCCAAAGAGCCAATCCCAGCACAGTCTGGTCTCTCGAGTCCTTTAGACTAAAATCAGGAATGATTTGCAAGTTGTTGGTAGCATGAAGAGCATTAGCTAGGGAAAAAAAAAAAAACACCACGCATAAGAAATTAGAGTTATTCTTCTACTTGACCTGCAGTTGCAGGTTTAAAGCTGCAGGAGGCGCAATGTCACATGTTGAAGTAGGCTGTTCCTTCAGCAGTCAGTTTGAAAGATCTAAGCAAGATACCTTAGTTTCCCAGAAGCAATACTTCTTAGGATTCAGGTATTGTTGCCACTACTGCCTAATCTTAATACTTACACTAAAAACATTCAACTTTAACTAAAAGACTTAACCTGCCCACTTTCTACCTCCACTTCCAGAGTGGTGTATATGGAGTTCTGAGAACAAAGAGTGGAGGCCATACTGTAAGAGGGTGGCCGCATCCCTCCTTCCCAGCTCCCCAGGATGGAAGATATTCTCCCCAGTTCACCTACTCCCTCTAAATCCCACTTACAGTAGGAGAAAAAACAGGCCTTGCTTCAGCTACCAAACTCCCTTCCTTCTGCTAGAAAGGAGAAGCTGAACTAGTAGCATTTAAACGCATCTGCATTTCAACGCTCAGGTCTCAACTCTACTACAATATCAGCATTTCTCTGTACAAAATCCTCTTCCTGCAAGAGCTGAGGGAAGCAGAAGTCTCAGCACAGAAAGATACCTTTATCCATATTTAATTCCAGCATTTACCTGAACAAAATGCTTTGACAGAGAGAGAAAAGGGATCTCAGTTGTACAGCTGGAATACAACCTGGGGCTAAGTGTTCAAGTCCATTATCTACAGTGGAGTATTTAGCAAGATTTATGGGCAAGTTAGTTTTTCTAGTCTTAACAAGCAGATTATTTAAGACCACATTTAGCCAGTCTTGTTAATTGCTCCACTTAAGCAATGTTTACAGGAAGACATGCTTTAGTAGTAGTTTGTCAAAACACAGTTTAGATGTCATCTTGACACACCAATCCACCAAAGCATCAATATAGCCCAAACCAGAAAAAAACCCTACCTTTTTGTTCCAGGATGACCGACACCACATCTGGGTGATTGTAAGCAATGGCCATGTGGAGGGGAGTTTGCAGATAAACACTCTCTGCTGCTGGGGAAGATGCATCCTTCTGACCAAGCCCCGCTTCTGCTGTCTGGATGTTTGGATTGGCTCCTTGCTGCAGAAGTTCTGCTGTCAGGTTTGCCAGGCCATGCCTACAGGCTGTATGCAGTGGTGTTTCTCCCTTTAATAAAAAGAGCAGTAGGGTAACAGCTTGAGACATGAAACCCAGAAGAGAAGTAGCTTTTAAACTGCTATGACCACAAGAGCTGGTGTGAAGAGCTTATATTCTAGGAGTTGAGGCTCCTTTGGGCTTTCAAGCTGCATGAGTTAGCCTACATTAAGGAGTTTATTGTAACAGGCACTGAGGGAAGTGTTAAAAGCATGTTAACAACTGGTGATGCTGCAACAACAGCACCAGGAGAACACAACAGTTGTCTGATCACTGGCAAACATATGAAAGCATGCAAAAGGCTCTCAGCAGGTGTCCCAACTTGCTTTAAGCTATGGTTGGCAACAAGAGGTCTCTGCTATTTTATTTCTGAAAAGGAATAAGGAAACTTTCAGGCTATAGTTTCTGAGTTTCTGCTTTTACCCATTTGTTTTGGTGGTTGACTTTTGCTCCATGTGTTGCTAGGAAGAGAGAAGCCGCCTCATTTCCTGCGCCAGCCGCCCTCTGAAGCAAGCAGTTTCCTAAGGAAAAACCCATTAACACTGTTAGAGTGCAATTCCAACCACACTTTGAGACCAACAAGTGGTCTTCCCACCTCCACTTCCCACTACCACACAACATTAACATTTGAAGCCAACAAGGGAAATCCTACCCCTGCAATGCTGGACTGTCATGTGCACTACCATTTAACAATTACACATTTTGAAACTGTAAAGGGGATGTTAGGAGCTGGCAAGGAGTCCAGATTTCCTGTCACTCCCTGCAAGTCAAGCTCAGCTTGGGACCTGTTAGCGTTCCAGCTCTGGGTAAGCTACTACCACCCACCATTTATTATGCAGCAAGTGCTGCTGAAACCTCATTTAGCTCCTCAGAGTGCAGTTAGCATTAAGCAATTAACTCACAAGCCTTCCACCTACACAGAAATACAAACCTCTGTTTTACCTGTTACTGTGTCTGGAGCGTCTGTGTTGCTGCCTCGTTGGATGAGCCTTGCTGCAAAACTGTTCTCATCAAACGAGGTTCCGTTTACAACAGGGGCATCCTCAAAGGGGTTCACAGACTGATCAGACGACACAGTGATATACTGAACTGCCAGCCACAGAGCTGTGCTTCCTTCGTGATCCTTCAGCTCCAAGTCTAGTCTAAAAATAAGAATTAACGTTCCCCAATGTGTACCTTTAAAAGTGGTCCCCAAGCAGCTTAAGTTTCAAGTGTCTGAACAGCTGTACCAGTTCATCTCACTGACAACTCCTGCTTGCCAAGCTTACTGTAGCTCCAGTTCCTTCAGAGAATTTGTGAATACTTTGAAACAAGCAAGACACCTTTTAGTGGCTACTAGATTTAAGCCCCTGGTAGATCTGGGCTCCCACCAAATGTAGCAAAGAGGTAAATTCTCTTGTATTTGTGTAAACTGTGAATGAGAACTGCAAATTCAACTACAAAGAAACTGAGTCAAATGAATTCTTCTGCTTCATCACCCTAAGAAGTCACTTGTATTAGCTTCAAGCAGCACCTAAGTTGAACTCAAGAATGTATTCAGACATTTTAAGAGTCTTACTACTCCTTTTAGCTCCACTACAACGAAGTTATTGCTACATTATTTCACCCAGCCCTCTCTAGAAAACACAGAGATGCAGTTTGGTTCCTCTTTACAGCAGGGCAAAAACATACTTGGCTTCTGGCGGTGTTCTGGCACCTTAAGTTATGCAAAGCCTTTACACTTTTGCATCCCAAGCCTATTGCTGGCCTTATTGTAAGACAAAAGAGGCACAGAAGAGTTGTTAAACCAGTTCTCATACCTCCAGTGTACAAGGTAACCTCAGTGTTTTTACATTTAAGTGAGACTTACTGTTTGCATTGGAGAAGCTGACTGAATACAGGTTCATTCCTGACCACAATTGACACATGTAATGGGGTCCTGTAATTGAAGCAAAGTACAGTTACATTAGTGTATTAGTGTACTTACCTTTGTAATAAGCCAGATGTACTACACTCATGTAAGAGCTAGTCTTCAAGGAAAAAGCACAAGAACTTGACCTATCAGAATGGAATAGCTGATACACTTTAAGTCTTCTGTATCATTTTCTGTACTTGTTTGCCAGCTCCAGCTAACCCGTAAAGCAGTTTTCAGGTCCTATGCTTCAGATAAACACACTGCAGCTACTGGCTCTTTAAGATATTTTCAGTTTCACTGACAGCTTCAAAGAGAAGCACCTTTCAGGAATACTATTTGTCATCCTAGCTATCTTGCTTTGCTGTTCAGTGATTCAATAAAGGCAAATTAACTGTGGGCCATGTCTTTTAACACAATCAGCTCATCCCAGCTTTCTATAGCTGGGCTGTGTTTCACTGGTCATGACAGGGTATCATTCAGCCTGCACAGCTTTCTGCTTTGAGCACAGCCCACAGGCCTCAAACTGGATTAATGAATTCACCTTTCCTGCTTTCAGTATCACCTGTGCCTTGCGGACAGCCCTGAGCAGGTTCTTAGCAGGCTACATCTAATCACTACAGTATTATCTGTTAAAGCAGCAGAATTTACTGTTAAACTCAGTATTTACCTTCCTTTGCTGTCCTGCATATTTGGATTGGCTCCAGCCTGCAAGAGGGACTCTGCTATCTGTGCCATCTCTGCCATGACATCTGGCAAATGCTTCTTGGGGCTGTAGGACGCCACAAGGTGCAAAGGTGTCTCCTGGTCTCCCAACGTAGCAGCATTCACACGGGCACCGTTTTTAATGAGAAAGTTTGCTGCAAATTTATCTCCTTTTGTGAAACAAAACAAGGTTATTTATGGATGTATACTTTGTACACACTGTGTACTTTATGCAAGTCCAGAAAATAATACACATGATTTCCCCTCCGTACTCTACAATCATTCCAATACAGGTGTCTGCTCTTAAGACTGCCCTAGCAACAGGTAACTTCAAGAACACTTCACTGCAAAGTCAGGATTACAATATTTCATAACAATCCCTTGGAAAAAAGTGTTTTGCCCAGAGGCTACACGTGACTCAAGTTCACACACTTGTTATGGTGATAGTGAGTTTGCTAGTTCCTCTATCAGGATAAATCCATTGCTGCTTTAATGCACAATTGGACAAATCATGAGACAAAACATATTAGTAGTTCTTTAACAAAAGGTGCTATTTCAGAGCATCAGTCAGAAGTGTGTAGTTGAAGTTAGTGATTATCTGTTCAGTCTTGCTACATAAACAAGCAATAACACAGCCTTTGCTCCTGAAAGTTCTGGCCCCATTATATATAGGGCAAGGGCTTCAACAGTTCAGACCCACCACGTGTGGCATTCCTAAGAACTCCCTCTCAAGAGTTTCTCAAATCAGAGCTTAGGCCCACTTCAGTACATGAGACCTTGGACTCAAGACACCAAGATGCAAAGAATAACTTCATGATAATAACAATTGCCCTTACTCCAAAGATTACTTTGAATAGACATATTCACAAGTTGCTTGTCCTGAATGCAAGACTGGAGAACAAAGATGACTGTTCGCCTTTATCTCTGCCAGCAAAACCCAAAATCCCATTTTCTAATTTCCAGATCTGACATTCCCCCACACTCCAGTGATCATAAGTAGTAAGAATCACGTGGCAAGTTCAGACAATTTGCTTTAGCTCCATTTCCAGAACATGTGATCGTTAACAGTGATTAATTCACTGAAGCTTTGGTTACTGAAAAGCAAGCATTCATTCTCAGAGCTCTAGCTTAGACTGGAAGCAGACATTAAAACTAGAGGACAAACACTAGTATTAAGAGCAGCCTGCTGCAATCTTTCTAGTGTTTTATAGGGCTGCAACCATCACAACACTGACCTATGCCTTGAAGGTCTCCTACTCCTGCTGCTGAAGTTTCTTTCACAGGATCAGACACCAACATTACCCTGTTTAGATACGTACGAGATCAAAGGAAGAAGTCGGGAGCTGCATTTTGAACTCACAAAACTTCAACTAAACTTCTGCTTTTTAATTTGTAGCACTACAACACCCACGAGGTCCAGTCACAGGTAAGGTCCCTGTTGTGCTTGGCTTTCTGGAACAAACAGAGCTGCCAAAGTTGCCATTTCAGGCAACCAGTAGCGCGAGGTGCTCGCTGCAGATTGGCCAATGGCCAAGATGCTGCTGCTCCAAAGCCTTGGGAGTACAGTGGCCACAGCACCCAGGTCCTACTGTGCTCCACTTCTCATAAGATGCATTTTGCACTCTAAGGTGGAGAACAGCTCAATATAATCATGTAGTTATACTCAGATTCCACCCTGAGAACTATGCTACTATCCACTGGAGCTTTGAAGATACTCAGACTGATATAGAAGCACCTCCACTTGCTCCTCATCTTCTTCCAGTCAGTTTTTCCTCCACTAGAACTGCTGTGCAGTAGTGAGGACCCTTGCTGTTAGCCATAATCACATAAAGCATATGCTGCATTCAACCCAGGTCTAGAGAATGGCTTCAGCTTTATTTGTGACTGGGCTGTCATGCTTGATTCAACGATGTCAGAAAGAGACTGTGGTGTCAAATTAGAGTATTCTCAGTGTTTCCCTACATTTCTTCTTCTAGAATACTCTGCTAGATTGCTTCTGGATGTCATGTACTGTAAGTTTAGTTCAGCAGCCAGCAGGCCAGCTTTCAAATCCCAAATAAGAGTTTGTTTGGTTTCAAGTTTAAAAAAGAAACAGGACAAAGTTTATCCTTGACTGCAGTTTTCTAACTAAAGTGTCAACTACAAAGTGACAGGACTAAACTTTGGAATATATATTCCACACTAGGAATAACTGCTAATTAACAAGGCTTCCTATCCTATTTTACTTACCTCTCTGGATGGCTTTATGTAATAGACTCCAGCCTTTCTTGTCTGCCCTGTCTACATCAGCCTTGTAGTTGACCAGCGTAGTTGCGATACTCTCCAGCCTTTGGGCAAGGGCTAGATCCAAAGCAAGGTCACCGTTGTGATCCAACTCATTGAGCTTCCCAGGAAGCTACAACACAGATTCAGTCAACTGACATTAGTCAGAGGTGTGCTCACTGGCTCAACACAATATTTTAACAGCCTGTTCCAGCTACCAGAGTGTTAGACCTTCAGCTCTAAGGCAAAATGCTGGTGTTGCACTGAGGTAAGTGCATCTCACACAGGAAAACTACCAGCAGATTGGCATCAGCACTGGCAAGTCTGGGCTGTTCAATGAGAAAACAGGAGTTCTGTTTGCAAGCCTTGTTCGACCCACAGGAAGCTAGATTAGCACATTCAACACAGCACTGGGAAGAATTATTCAATTATTCCTTTAAATATACCTCAAATCCCAACTGGATTAGCCCCTAAGGGTATAAAGTGCTGCTACAGTCCCAGCTTCCCATTAGGATTTGAGGCATCTCAAAAAACTAATTGAATAATTCTTGATAATTAATACTTGAATAATTTTTTCTCCCCCTCCCCCTTGTTGGGGGACAACTTATTTGCTAGTTGTTTAGAGTGTGTCCATCTGAACAGAACAAATACCCCAAATAACAAGTATTTCAAACTTTCAATAGAAGAGGAAAAGCATTCGTTCTAAGAAATGATTCTTATTGAACTGCCATGGAGCAAAGTTGACTGTTATACCAGTCAGCTTTAAATGTGCATAGCAATATCAGGTATTGACAGTTTATTATATCTAATCCACAGCATGTAAGATTTTTTTAATTGTTATGAATCACTTCTGAATTCTATCTTTCTAGAGCCTTTACCGCTAGACCTCCATTATGCACATAGAAGTAGTTACGGCAGTGATAAACATGAAAATAAGAATGTGACAGAAATCACTAACAAGGTTCAGACTGGTAGTTAGGAACTAGTTATCTGAAACAAAATTCTAGACAACAGATCAAGTGAGTCTCACTATACCTGTGAATCCATTTCAATAAGGTACAAAAAGACTACATCTTCTCTCTCCACTTTAATAGCCTTATGCAAAGGATATTCTGTCTTTGACTTGAACATTTTATATAATAACTGAGCACTCATGCTACTGAAGTCTTCTTTACGTAAGTCATCCTAGAAGCAATAAAAAAAGAAAAAGGTAAGCAATATTCGTTTTATTTATAAACAAGGCATTGCACAATAGTGAAGTTCACAAAACAAGTTCAGTTAAAAGCTCCATTTTGGTAACATCACAACAAGCAGGAACAATCCAAGATAGCCTTTTAAGACTAGGAAGAAGCATTCGGGAAGTTTTACATCTTCCAATTTGGTTTCAAGATCAGTTAGTAAAATTTTTCTTCCCTTTTGTCTATCAACATAGAAAACATATTACAGCAGATTAACATCTAGTCTCTAAACTAATTCGCTACTGGGACTTAAATCACAGATGTGTGTTTACTGACAAAAAGGCCTACAACTATTGAAGAATGACAATTCTAGAGAATTTTGAAACACTGAGTAAAAGTAAACAGAGACTTTGTAGCGTAAAGGACCTTTGGTTTGAGTCTGAAGAATGACAATTCCAGAGAATTTTGAAACTCTCTGCATAAAAGTAAACAGAGGCTTTGTAGCGTAAAGGACCTTTGGTTTGAGTTAGTGCTCATTTCACTAAACAAGCTAATTTCCAGGTAGAATAGAGTGTCAAAAGTTAGGAGCCAGAAGCAGGAAAACAAGCTAATTTCCAGGTAGAATATAGTGTCAAAAGTTAGGAGCCAGAAGCAGGAAAGAGTTAAAATGACTGACCTGCAGGTTCAGATATAGGAATCTATTTTAATATATTTACATATTCACAGATCAAAGCATTCCCCTCTACATTGGCATTAGCCAAACAAAGAAATATCCACATCTGGATGACGCATTTTAGATTTAGAATAACCCAAATCCTCACGCACTAGTCTGCTGTTGACATGTCTTCTTTTAAAGGCTAATCCCTTACTCAGTTAATCAAACTTTCCTCAAAATAACAGATCAGAGCAAGTGAAACTTCCAAGTCAGTTGCAAGACTCCTCGCCACTCCCTCCATCACAGAAGATAAACTCTTCCCTGGATTATTTTTAGAAGTTAAAGCAGGCCTGGGATTTGTGATCCGTACAGACAGAGACCAACTATGGGTGAACTCCCAGATAGTTCAGAGTCCAGATTTGATAAACAACCTTCTTGCTTGTTAGAACACAGTCCCTTTGGTTTGGCTCATGTTTAGGAAAAGTAAGATGCTTTTTACAGTGAAGAACTTCCAATGAAGAGAAAAACTTTTCAGGCTATAAACTACTTCCCATAGTCAAGACATTCACACCACGATAGACAATGGACATAACCTCTAAAAACAACCAAAAAAAAATCTTAGAGAAGGAGCCATTTAATGTGCTTTGTTTCAAACATATCATTATGAATTACTATTGTAGAGAATACCAAATAAGTGTCAAAAGCATGTTTTATAAAGATAACTGAGACAGATAGGAAGTATTGTAGAGAATATCAAATAACAGTGTCAAAAGCATGTTTTATAAAGATAACTGAGACAGATAGGAAGGGAAAAGTCACTCCTGCCTCAGAAGCAGCCTCTCCACTCACCCCAGGGCGCAGGACAGGCAGATTTAGATTTGACAGCTTTTTATAAACACTGTTGCTCCTTTTGCAAACACATAAGGGTCAGCATAATAGGTCACCTTAGTCACTGAAAGTTATCAGGAATCCATGTAATCCCCATCCCAATGGGAATGCTTGAATGCTGGCATACCAAGAGATACCCCTGAGGTCAGACAGTACTGTTAAGCAAAATTCTGCTGATAAAATTCCTATACTCTGCAAATGTTTTTCCTCTGGCTTCCTTCGGAGAGTACTCACCCAGTGACTCGCGATGATCTCAGCGCAGTAGTTGAGGAGGGTGCTGGCATTCAGCTCCTCGGCCGTCTGATAGAAACGAATGCAGTTCCTGACGTTAACTAGTGACATAACTCCTTTTTCACATCTGTCAAAATAGCAAAGCCAGTGTTCAGGAGCCAGGAAACAGCTTTACTGCACTCACTCACCCATGCTGTAACAGGGTCCTATGTACTCCTTTTCCTTGATGCCAGCAGAAAAGGCTTGGCCTTGCTTTACTGTAAGGCTAAGCAACGTAAACATACTTTAATGAGAAATCCTGTAAGACAGTCTCTACAAGAGCAGGCTCCACACCATGGGTATATCCCATAATATCCCATATACTGCAGGAGCTGCAAGCAAAGACAGACACCCTAGATCTCCCAAGGGAGCAAACTGCTGCAGCTCATTCACTGCTATGAAGCAGGGAAGATGTCTATCACAACAAGTACTATAATGACCACAAGCAGCTTTTGTCCCAAATCTAGAGAGAGGAATGCCCAATACAGCTGTTTGGATTCATAAAGAGAAGGGAAAAATTTTAACAGAAGATCCAACAAATCTTTATAGGTGAGAAGCTATTAGTTTGAGTTGATGGGAAGAAAATCCAAGTATCTCAAAATGAAGATAAACATGCCAGTGATCTCCAGGCAGATATTAAGACTACAAAAAGTGGAAATACTTGTCTCCATGTAGAAAGCCTGAAGGCAGTTTTAGCATTGGCCTTAGAGATGTCAACTTCTTCGGTCAGAAGAATTTAGCAATTTAGTTTGTTTCATGTTGAGTCACAGTTAAATCACAGATTAAGAGTGCTATGTACTATTACAGCCCCAGACACGGGTATTTTATCTCTGACTAAATTCAAGTCTTTAAAGTTGTACAAGAACTTGAAGAGGTTTCAATTTGTACTTTCAGGCTTCCCACTAACTCTAAATGGCTCTTTAGAGCACTCTATACATTCAAGATAACAATGTAACCCCTACTAGAATGGTGTTAATCATGATCTCCTCAAAATGGCAAAACATTGTAGTGTTACATTAATCTTCTTTATGAAGAAAAGTTGCCACCAAGATGCAAAGAAGAACAGCCATTTAAGTTAAAGAGTTCTCACCTGGGGCATTTTAATACTGCAAACTACTTGCCATTGATTTTTCCTAGCACTCTTTAACAATTCCTCTCTTGCAACTCTCCAGACCTTGTTACTAACTGATCTCTACTTCCTCTTAATGCCAAATTAGGGTTATTAGTTGACTGGGAGGGGAACTGGAAAGTAAACATAAAATCTATGAGAAAAATTGCTACAGTTTAACTGTAGTGCAAGCCTGTTTTCTGTGAACAACTGAATGTCATGCTGCATTACTGAAAACCTCAAGACTTTGAAAAAGCAACATTTGATCGACTTGCCAGCAGCTATCATCTTATTTCTATTCCAACAAGGTTGAAGAGTTCAAGAAGATTCACTGTGTTTACCAAGACTCACCTTTCCCTAAGCAGCTGGAGCTGAAATTTATTAGCTAGTTTCATGAGCTCTGTCAAGAAGATATCATCTTCTCTCAGCTCCAGTTCATCTGTGTAGATCCACCGCAGCATTGCCATGGTTACCTCTGGGTCAGCATCTGGTACAGGGAGCAACAGGGATTAATAAAATACCCAAAGAACAATCACCTATTCAAGTAGCTGGTATTCTTCTGACTGTTAAAGCCACAGCTACCATGGGGAAAAAAAAAGAAAAAAAAAGATAGCCTCATTGAAACTCTACTGCTTTAGTTCAGTCAAAATGTCAAAACAGAGGCAAAACTCATCAGAAGTTAAAACTAGTAACATGAAGCAGGAAAGCCTTTTTTCCATTGGAACACTCCACAGAATGCAGGGAGCCCTGTAACATCTCCAACCTGCTGCACAAATATTGCATTTAGGGGTCACTGATGCCCCTTTAAAGTCTTTGGTCCTTCACATATGGCTAAATCCACATCTACATGGACAAACACAAACCCCCTTCTCAATTTAAGAATCCTCCCTCTTGTATATTATAGCCATTTGTTATAACTGTTGCATTCCAATGAAGGTACTTATTATTAATGACTACAAAGCACTTAAACTGCTGGGAACCATTTCTAGGAAAGGTGCAAAAGAGTCACTTTAAGAAGCTGGTCAGGTTTCAGCATTTACAGCACTGATCACAAGCCTGATTGGTTTTTTACACAGCAAGAAAACTAGAAACCTACACCACTGGACACAAGATACACAAGCCCAATGGCCAGGGACCTCTGTCACCTACTCAGAAGTATAGTGAGAACCCTCCTTACAACAGTGTCCATGAGAACTACTCCACAATGCAAGATCAGACCAATCACAACAATAATACCATTCATTTAGAAAATTAAAATTAGCCCCTTAAAGCTTTATTTTCATGTTGTTGTTTGTTGGTTTTTGGTTTGTTTGGTTTTTGTTTGTTGCTTGTTTGGTTTTTAAACAAAACCATACATGTTTAAGACACTGAAATACCCATCCCAAAACATCTCCTTTACACAGAGGGTTGTCCCATATTATTTGCAGGGCACCAGGCAGCACTTGGCATAGTGTGTAGGCTGCCTCCTAAGAAACAGGAGGTTTTGGTAAGGCAAGTAAGTATCTTTTGCCAAACCTGAAGTAATCAGAAAACCTACTTGAGCTGTAATATCAGCTCTGCCAAGGCAGAGATAAGAGTTCATTCTCTCCCTCCTAACAAGAGACTCTTATAGAGCAGAAAATTCTGCAGATTACATGAACTCTGGAAACACTCAATTTTAAATGCTGCCTGGATTTTGAAGTTAAGATTCAGGCTATCTTAACTTGCAAGTTCTTAATAGAACCTCTTAAGAAAACCATGACAGTTTTTAGGGAACAGTTTGTTGCTTGCTATAACTATTTCAGAACCTAATACTTGTGCCATTTATCAAACTTTCTAAAAAAAATTCCAGTTTACACAGTGGAAAGTATCATTTACTAGCACTTATTTTGAGCATCATTCTATAACAGGAAGTGTTTGCGTTGTTAAACATGCAGGACTTCAGTTACATTCAAGATTCCCACGCTAGCTTAAATGTGGAGCTAGAAATGCTATGGACCTGTCGTTTGCAACAAAACTACAATTAACATAAGAGCTTTTTGGTAATAACCTTCTGGTAGCACAGCACTCAATTTCAAAAACACTTGGCATCTGTTTTCTTGTGGCTGCAGAAGGATCCATAAATCCTTATGCAAGAAACTCAGTGCTGTCTCATAAAACCAGCTTGCTGTGACTTGCTTCTTTCCAGTTTGTCTGCACTCGGGATTCATGATAATATTAAGTGCAGAAAGTGAAGCCAATGCTTAATATTCAACATGCCAGCCAGCAAACCTGCTTAACTTCATGCCTGCTTTTATTGCTCACAAATTAATTGTACATGACTCTTCTACACTGTTAAGTATGGAAAGAAAAGTCTGTCAAGAGGTTCGATCTGCAGAAACACCGCCGAGGGTAAGCACATGCAAGAAACACCTACAGGAGAACAAAACACTGTCTCGTAGAAGACTGGCTTTTAGGAACCTTCTCTTCCTCATCTATTTTTGCAAAGGTATCAAAGTGCCAAAGCAAGTAACTTTTTAATAACACGTCAGCACTTGTATTCATTTCCCACACACACTTTGTTAACAAGAAGCAAGGTATTTCCATGACACACTTGAGAGAAATTATGCACACTACCTCAAAAAGCCCTGTCCTTAGAAAGGAAGAAGTCAAGCTCCTCCACAAAGATTTGTTTTTCATTATGTTTAGTTGACTCTAGAAAAGACAAAACAGGCCACCATTCTCCACCCCTGTTCATTAAAGAGAAAGAAGGTCAGTTATCGATTTTACTAGCACTAGCACCAGATTCACGAGGGTACTACCAAATTGCAGAGACAGAGCTCCATAATTCATGGATTAAGCACCACTTTTTGTGGACAGTAGTAGCCTGAAAGGTACCCAAGGAACCTTTTTCCCAACAGGCCCTTTCACTGGTTGTCCTAAAGCCAAAGTAAGCATCATACTGGTAAGCAACGACCGACCTGACAGATCCAGCTCCTCTGTGGAGGCAAGGTTGGCAAGGCTCCAAGCATCGCTGCGTGCCGCCAAGACAAATTTGTGAGCACTGATGCGCTTGTCCCCAACCTTTATCTTCAGATCACTGATAAGAGGGAAAGAAAAAAAAAAGAGTATATACATGTATAATGCAAGGTTCCCCCCTGTGCTTAGATACATATGATTCAGTATCTCCATAATATTCACATCCTGGTATCCACATCTAGGTTTAAGTCATTTGAAACATCAAAATACATTTAATTGGTTAAATAGAACATATTGCCAAATGACATAGTTATCTATTTTCCTAGGGAGAAATGCAATGAGGCATTAATATTTAAAGTGTTTGGGTTTGGTTTTTTTTAATGGTTTCAGAACTGCACAGGAACTATTGTAGAAAATAGGAAAATACAACAATCTTGTGGTTAAATATTTATGTTGCAGTGTCCACACTAACACCACCAGGTAAGCACCAATGGTTTCAGGCAAGACCAGTAAGAGAACAAACGCTGTTTGACAGCAGTCTGAGCACAGGGCAGACTCCAAGAATTCCCAGTTCCCAGGAGACCTGCTGTCAAGAACACTTTGATTTCATTCTGACCCCTTTAACACCAGGTTACCCTTTGAAATTAGAAAGTACCTGCCCTGTTATTTTAAAACCCCATAGCTTGTAAGTGTTCTGTCTGTGTAGGTGTATTTTCCAGACCATTTTCCAAATCAAAGCACTGCTATAATTAAAGTCCAAAATACAGAAATGTTACTTAACAAAACTTGCATTAGGACTTGCTTCCTTTCTCCTTTTATAACTAGACCATTATTCTATGCCTTTAAAACTCAAAAGCCAAATGGAATTGAAGTGAACCAGCTCTTCTGACATATGCTACCTAACAAATCTTTTACCCAGCATGCTATAATAAGTTCTTGCCAGTCACAGAGCATTTTCTCAGGGAGGCTCACAAAGAGATGTTAAGGGAAGGAAAATTTTAATCAGAAGTATACATTTTTCCTCTTAAATTATTTAACTCCTTTACTATACTGGCATTGCTTTCAGTAATAGCAAAGGAATTGATAAGCGTCATTGCAGCCTCAGAACTAAATCAGTTAAGGGATCTGGAGTACTGAAGGTGATCCTTAATGTGCCTCTGGAAAAGAAACCATTAAACCTAATTTTGTGTTGAGATTCAAAGATACAATATCATTTATACCACTAAGTCACATACAGAATGATAGATTTGTCGAGGTTGGAAGGGACCTTTCAGATAGACTACAACCACTGACCTAACACTGACAAAAACCATCACTAAACCACTGTTTTAATGTGTCACTGTTTAAGACCTGTTACATCACACAAGCTGGTTCAATTAGGCTTCTTTACACACAACAGGAGAGCACAACTGGTTTCAAAGACATACCCTTTCAAGAAGGGAGGGTTTTCCAGTTAGTAGAAGATACATCGTGTAATAAATCCATCAACTAGGTATAGATCAGTTTAACATTGCTTCTGGTCAAAGGGAGCTCTGCTGTTGACAGTGAAAATGGTCAGGTTTTTTTAAACTTGTCTTAATGTCAATCTCAGAGATTAATTTCTACTTAGAGCTCTTGATTCACTTCTGGTCAAAGGGAACTCTGCTGTTGACAGTGAAAATGGTCAGGCTTTTTTTAAACTTGTCTTAAATGTCAGTCTCGGAGATTAATTTCTACTTAGAGCTCTTGATTCAAAAGTTGGATTCAATAGGCTACCTGATCTTAGCATGCTCTTCCAACTGCAATTGCAACTGAGGACCCTATTCATACCAGGCAGCGGAGAAAAACTAGTACCTATTGCAGCTGAAGTCAAAGGTTCCTGTAACACCCCTTTCCCCAACGGGGAATTTCTTACCTGTACTGCTCCTGCTGATAGAGTTCAGCTACAATGGCAAGAAGTCGACTGATGAAGGTGTCACTGGCATTGTCTTGGTTAGCCTGGGCAGCCAGAAGATTGCATCTCCTTTCTGTATCAGCAAGTTTCTTCTGCAGCTTTACATACTCCTGGCGGAGAAGCATCAGGTGCTTTTCCAGCTTGGCCACCTCCTCTGCAGAGGCACACAGTGTTACTACAAGGCTGAAACATGCACACCTTTGTTTTGCATCTGAGGGTAACTTATCCCTGCAAGTACCTCACACATCTAGTTTCATCCCAGAACATCCCAGTAAGAGTCTCTTCTCTTCCACGCTGCTCAAGAATCTCTCTCCCAATATTAAACTTTTTATTTTATATCATTACTAGCCATAAACACACTAAAAATCAGAGCACAGTGATAGAAGCCAATTACAAAGAAAGCTCCTGACTCTTGTCCAGTCAGGAATACCATAAGCTTTCTAAAATCATGGGAGCCCATGACCATGGGAATTCTGGTGGGTAGAGGACTAACTCTTTAGTTCTTACCATTTGGCTTAGTTAAAACCCTGTTTGACTTTACAGCTGAGGCATCAACCACAAGTGACATTAGAACAGCTGCTGACACACCATATCTACCTCAGAGTACTAAACTGACCTGTTTAGAACCCCTCAAAGGGGAACTCCTTAAACAGCCAGAGTGAAAGACAGATTTTCCCCAGAATCTATTTTAAAGGCCAATCAAAAAAATATCTAAAACTCTACTTGCTACTGGCACACAGACATTTGTCCCTTGGAGGCACCACACTGTCACAGCACCACGGTGCAGAGTCAGGCCCACGGAGGCTATTTCAATTCTGCAGCAGCACAGCAAGAGCCTGGGAACCTGATCCCTGATCAAGTCTTTCCATCCCATGGCAGAGCCTGCTTTTCCACCACTCAAATGGTCACTCCGCATGTTGTGATAAATTAATGCACTGAACTCAACCCAGGTTACCCATATGAAAAGCCTCTGCTTCACTACTAGAAAGGAACCTCTGTACAGGTGCTTAAAAACAGGCCAACTTAAAAATACTTAGTTGCACAAACCATACGTTGCTATCATGTAGCAATCAATTGATTATTTCCCCCCATCATTAAGATGATTTTCCAAATAAGGTACAAATCCAAAACCAGTCCTAAAACGAGAGGGGGCAGGGAGGAGAGGCTTGGAAGCTAACCAATGATTTTAAGTGGGAAAGTTCCTACAAGATTATTCCCTATCAGCCAGGAATTCGTTGTTCTAACAATGTTTCTCAAATATTTACTAAATGGAAGTCACTACTACAAACAAGGAGAAACTGAGCTCTCTGGACCAGTGTTTTCCTCTTTCCTTCTGTAGAAAAGTCATAGCTGACCTTGGCCTTGCTCCAACACAGGTCCCTGGGGCAGAGCATCTTTCTCTCACTCAGCTGCAGACAGGATGCCTCATTTAGTCTTCCCTCTATGGACTGCTGCAGCAAATGCTCCCTCAGAAGTCTTTTCACTTAAGAACTACCTTAATGGATAAACAGACTTTAATTTACCCTGTTCTACTCTTCAGTTAATACTACTTAAGCAGGTCTGGCTGTGTACTTCCTTCAACAGCCTTTTATTTAGCTTCATCCTAAAATATGATCTCTTTTGGGATACTTATTCTAATGAAGTATACTATGATTTCAGAATGGTCCTACCAATACCACACCGACCCTCAAAGACAGTTTGAAATTCTGCTCTATTCTTTCTATCTAAAGATAAATGCAATTTCAGTGTTCCTGGAACTAGAAGGACATGGGGTTTTTTAGCAACTGCTTCTTCCTGACTGATTCATAAGGAAGATGTCAAGGGTGGCACAAAGAAAGCCCTCCCGCTACAGCGAGGACAGCAGAAGTCTGATAGAAGCCAAGAGTGATCACTGAAAGACACTTCGAGAAAGGCAACAAAACAAAAAAAAAAAATAAGGTGTATGAACACCAACCACCACTGTTGATACAGTCAGTTTAAGTGCCATACAAATTCAAATCCAAGATGTTGCCTGCTAATCTCATAGCACGTACCATCTTGATAAACTACTGTATCTTCCAGTCAAGCAATGAGCGTGGTGGGAACAAAGAATCAGTACCAGATTCACATGGGGTTGGAAGGGACCTCTGGAGATCATCTAGTCCAACCCCCTGCCAGAGCAGGTTGCACATGAACTTGTCCAGGCGGGTTTGGAATGTCTCCAGAGAAGGAGACCCCACCACCTCCCTGGGCAGCCTCTTCCAAGGCTCTGCCACCTCGAAGTAAAGAAGTTCCTCCTCATGTCAATAGGACAGAATGGAGGACCTTAAACCTTCAAACAGCAATAGCTTAAGCTTTATGCATAACCAACAATCAAATAGAACTGCCTTAAACCCTCAAACAGCGATAGCTTAAGCTTTATGCATAACCAACAATCAAGCTGGCTACTCCCTCTTCCAGGACAATCCAAGACAATTGTTATTGGCTGTAAAAGTACCCCAAAGAATTGAAGCTTTGAGAAATCCTGTTTTCAGATTGACAGCATACACTTCCTGCAACCTCAGCGAGAGGGATTGATAGAACTTGCTTGCTGTAAGAATTACAAAAGCTCTTGTCCTGGTTTGAGGTAGAACAGAACCAATCAATAAGAGCTTCTCTTATTCTACATGACAACGCACACCCCAGTTGCGTAGTAGCTACTGCATGATTGCAGTCAATATTTGATCTCACGGCAGTTTTTAAGTGGCCATTCAAGACAGTCCTCAATGTCCAATTAATCAACATTCACTGCAAAAGAGCAAAGCCTCAAGTTTTCCCTGTATACTGTTCATTTAAAGAGTTAATAAGAGAGTTGCTTAAAATAAGAGTTGCTTCAGAAGTAGAACCTGCTCAATCTCAGGTAGAAGCACCACCTCCATTTAAACAAGTAGAACTACAAGTCTAAGTTTACTATTTACAGTCCTCACTTTTGGAAGAGGGGAGAAGTGCCATCACTTTTTAAAAATCAAGTAAAATGACCATTGTATCTTCAAGCTGGCAATCATTTTGATAGAGCACATATTATTGCCAGTCTCTATTATGTATTACCATTCACCTGACCATCTCCCAAGTATAACATACAACTGCAGCATGCACACACCCCCCTAATGAAGATCCTCGCATCAAGACACCTAAAGGACAACCTCACTGGAAGATACCAGTAAGTCTCTGGCTAAACATCAATCCACATAAGTATAACTGCAGCATGCACACACACCCCTAATGAAGATCCTCACATCAAGACACCTAAAGGACAACCTCACTGGAAGATACCAGTAAGTCTCTGGCTAAACATCAATCCACATCATCAGTGAAGAGGATGGCTGCGTTCAGCAGAGACACACAAAACAACTCCTTTTCTAAGCCCACAGTCCAGGTACAGAGTTAAGAGATGGCTGGACAAGAAAATAAAAGCAGTGTTTGTTAACAGCTTTCTGGCAGATACACTAACATCTCATTAACTGGCAGAAGTTTATGTTCCACATCAAGGACTTCAGAAAAGGCTACAGATACTGTCTTACAGGAGAAGGCACTTGAGAGTAATGAGACAGCTGAATTCAACAAGATAAGTAGGGAGGCAACAGGCAGTGGGGTGACAGATAGCATGTACCAAAAACTAGAGGGAGGGTCTGGTGGAACTCATTACACTCTCATCCCGCCCACCAAAAGCAGACACAGAAACAACATGGATAAGCTTTTGTTTACTTATAAAGTGGACCTGAGTGAAATATTTCAGAAAAAAACCATTATTTCCTTACCCCTTTCAAATCAGGTCCTTCGTCCACTGCTCTACACTCTGACTCCCATCTCCCCAAGGCTGTAAAAGTTACTGCTTTCCTGTTCTTCCTCATTTTTACACACTTACGATCTTTACCCCAAAGAATTACAATGTACTTCCTGCTGCTCTAGGCTCAAATATTGATTCAACAATTTTTACCCATGTCTGCATGTAACCTTGTACCCTCTGGTATTGGTGCTACAGAACCCTTACAGAAGCTACAAAAGGAACCTCACCTCTTGTCTTTATAAACTGTTCAAACAAATTGTAGCTAGCAATTAAAAAAAAAATCTAATCCAGGACTTCTGCACACAGAAGCAACACTTCCATAAGAAAAAACATTCAGCTTCTGAGCAGATGAACTCCCTTAATACACCTTCACTTTTCAGCTGACTATGATCTTTACCCCAACAACCATCCCAAAGAACTACAGTGTACTTCCTGCTGCTCTAGGCTCAAATATTGATTCAACAATTTTTACCCATGTCTGCATGTAACCTTGTACCCTCTGGTATTGGTGCTACAGAACCCTTACAGAAGCTACAAAAGGAACCTCACCTCTTGTCTTTATAAACTGTTCAAACAAATTGTAGCTAGCAATTAAAAAAAAAATCTAATCCAGGACTTCTGCACACAGAAGCAACACTTCCATAAGAAAAAACATTCAGCTTCTGAGCAGATGAACTCCCTTAATACACCTTCACTTTTCAGCTGACTATCCAATACCATCAGTTCTTAAATAGAAAAGTGTTGCTGCAGACATGTACATTTTTGGAAGGGACAAAACAAGACCCTATGCCCAAATATTACAGGAATTGAGTGGGGAGACTCCAATACCATCAGTTCTTAACTAGAAGAGTGCTGCTGCAGACAGGTACATTGTTGGAAGGGACAAAACAAGATCCTAAGCCCAAATATTACAGGAATTGAGTGGGGAGAGCTATAACTCCAGCTTATTACTCCTGTTCGTGCAGGATCACTCATTGGTCATCTGCTTTCTTTAGCCAAAAGTTCAGAGAATTCCTTGAATTAGGGAGGGATCTTTGAGAAGTACAGATGTCTGAAACAGGACTTGCACCAGCTGCAGGTTCATTCTGCAGAGCAGTACCCTGAACCAGAACCTCAGCTCCTTGAAAGTCTCAGTGGGGAAAGTTTCACCACCTGAAAACATCTTTGACATCTAATGCCTGCCAGAACTGGGCCACCAAGGCTTAAGAGAAGCCTAAGAAGCTGGTCAGCTAAATATGAAACAGTGGTATTTCAGCACACAAAGTCAGAAGCTGCTCTAAAGATTTATTAAACCAGCTTGACTGCAGCTTCCCCTTGGCTCATGCATGCCAGGAGATGAGCATCCGCTACATCCAAGTTAATCTTCCACAAGTGGTTTTAAAATTCTACCACTGTCTGAGAGTCGCACTTGGAGAGCTGAAGGCTGTGCTTTTAAGACTGGAAGTTAGAGCCTTAATTTCCTTTGCAACTTGGGGTATTTTCACTCAGTTTGCCGACTCAGTTTTCCTCCAGGGAGAAAAAAGAGGAAGCTTCTGTCTTGCAGAAAGGAGCAGGACTGTAAAAAGATCCAAGTGTTTTTTCCAAATCTCATTACCTCAGCTAAATTAATCTGGAAGCGGTGTAATTGATAGCCTCCCAACTATCAATTATAAAATATCCAAGCAAAAGGAGTCTTAGCAGTTCTGTAGGTCTCACCAGAACCCAAATTCGACAAAAGGACACCCAGCAGCAAGTGACCAGGAGCCTGCAGCCCAGGTGTCCCTGCCTTACTCCAAGCAAAGTCGCCCCCCTCTCGGGGCAGAGGCTCGGCCTCGGGCCCCCCTCACCCGGGGCGGCCGCCATCCCCCTCCCGCCGCCCGGCCAAGTGCGGGGAGGGGTCGGCGGGATGTCCCCCGGGCTCCGCACCACCCGGAACCGCAGTTACCCCAAAAACCTCCCTCCTGAGGGGCCAAGGCAGCCCTGCCCGGCCCGCCCTACCCCGGGGGTGTCAGCCCGCGGGCAGGGCAGGGCAGAGCCCCCCTCCCGCGCCATTACACGTTCACCTCGGGGGCGGCCTGCCCCACCCGCCGCGGGCAGGGCGGACCCCCTTCCCGCAGAGGGAAGCAACAGGAGCCCCACACGGGGGCTGCTCCCGGTTCCCCGTCAGCGCGAAGCGTCCCCCTCCCGGCGGCGCTCCCCGTGTGGCCGCGGCCCCGCCCGGCCCCTCTCCCGGGCTCCCCCCCTTACCTTCCGCCATGTTGGGTCCGGCGCCGGAGCTCTCGCGAGAGCCGCCGCCCGCCCCGCCGCCTGAGCCTGGGCGCTCTCGCGAGATCAGCGCGGCACCGCGCCCCCCCCACGGCCCCGGCCGCCCCCTGCCCTCAGCGGGAACCCCGGGCCCGGCCGCTCCGCCCCGCTTTATACCGGCGGCTCCTCCCGCCTCCGCCGGAGAACGGCCCCCGGGCCCGCCCCGCCGGTGCTGTCCGGCCCCCTCAGGAGGCCCAACGGCTCCGCGCCTCAGGCGTTTGCCCGCGGGCGGCAGGAGGCAGCCGGTGGCCGGGCTGAGGCGCCCTGAGGTGTCAGTGCTCCCCTCAGCTGAGGCGAGGAGGGGCCGTCGAGGAGCACCATGGCCGCCTTGGCAGCAGGAGGGCGATGGCCAGGGCTGGGAGATGCTGGAGAAGAAACCCACCAGGGCCAGGGTGAGATGGTGGCCCCCTTCCCTTCAGCTGCGGTGGGTGCCACCTGCGTGGAGAGCCGCTGTCACGCGCTGGCTTCAAGCCCAAAAGCAACGCAGGCCTTCTCCAGGACCACAAAAGGGAGTGCCAACACGGGGTTCCAATCTGATGGGTCTATTTGTTGCACAGCCAATACTCGTATCATCGTTACTTCAGTTCCTGCACCATTTGCTTTTGTTTGAGAGTCACCCATCCTGGCAGCAGGACGGGTGCCCGGTGGGCAAAGCCTGTGGTTGAGAGTCGAGACAGGCAGGGACCAAGGAGCAGTAACAGCATCACATTCTCAAGCCATGTCTACAACATCACTGACCCTCTGCTGTTCTCATTGCTCATCATCTTTCCTGCCCAGATACAACGAAAACATCAAAATATTCTACGCTGAGCCAACTGTGTATTTTTTTTGTTTGAAGAGCAAATTTCAAATGTATGTTTGAATACATTATGCACGCTATTTTTTTACAGACGTAATTTTTCTCCTGATTTCACCGTTAAGTGATCTTTGAAAAGCTGCTCTGACTCGTATCTCTTTTCTGTGCCTGTTGGATAGAACAGCAAAACCAGAAGCAGGCCTAGACCCAGGAGGGCCACAGCCTGGAGCTTCTAGGCAGGTCACGAAACGTGGCCTGTCTTATTTTTCACAGCTCAATGACAAACATGTCTGTCTGTGCTACGTATCTAGCTTACACCACCACTTTATGGGTGCTATCGATCATCCTGAGTAAGTGCAAGGAAAACAGTGATTACCGCCTGATCAGATTTAGTCTTCCTTGAATTTCTGAGCAACAACAGAGATCAGATTTCAAACTACTGCCGTGTTTTGCATGTGGGGAATCAGCAATCTCATCTTTTGTTGAGGATTTGCCTGGGCAGGAAAGCATCTTATTACAGCTACTCTTTAAAAGCCGAGCACCTTCTGGTTTGGTTTGAAATCACTCGTATCACACTGAAATTCTAAGACTTGTGGTGCTCCTCTGTTTGCACCGTGATGGCACCGTACCAGGAGCAGGGCACCAGATGGTACAGGCGCAGTAAAAAGTCCACCCCCCATCAGCCTACCAAAAAACCAAAATACACTTATAATCAGCATTAACATTCTCCGTTTATTGACTGTCTCGTTTCAGTAAGCATTTTCTAGGCATCACAGCAGGTAAGAATTTCAGCTGAATAGCCCTTCTGATTTTCCCAGAGATCTTTCTCTGATGCATATGGGGCAGCATGGAGAAATATAAGAAAAGGATGAGGACAGCCATACTACTTTGATATTTATTACAATCCCATGCTTTTCTTTGCTTTTCCCCCCAGTGATGCAGTGTTATCTGGGAAGAAGGCCACTATGTGTTGGGGGGAAAAACTAGGACAACCACTCAGCCATAATTACAAGACTCCAGAGAACTAGAAAAAGTGTAATTAATCATTGAGTACGCCGACAACCTACATAAACCCAACCTGATACACTGGTAGAAGTGAAAGTGAGGAAGCTGGTTTATTTGACTGATCGAGTATTCTAGTACTAGGTGTATGTAGTGCATCTCTCTAGTGTTCCTATCTTGGGACCCAGCAGAAATTTCTGGTTGTGTCAGTAACCCTCATCGCCAGATCTCTTTCACGCATTGGGTAAGAATGAACAAAAAGCTGACTGTGAGCACCTAAAAGTTAAACAGGCCATTTCTGTGCCTGCCAGAGGCTTTCTACAACCTGGACATTTGGCACCAGACCCTCAGCTGCCTCTTTCACCCAGTCATTGGGCATCATCCATACCTGCAGCTTGTGCCTCTTAACAGTATCTCACAGTAACGCTCCGTCCTTTGGCATATCTGGGTCCTGTGGAGTCACAAACCACCTGGGTAAGCCAAACACAAGGGGGTTTATATTTGAGTGATTTACAAAGAGTGGAACCAACACTGCTGTGGAATGAACGGTTCTTCTGTACCACTGATGGAAGACTAATGTTTCCAGGCTACCCCTTAAAAGACAAACAAGCAAGTCTTCCAGAGAACAAATGAGAAAAATAAAGCTTGTGAAGTTTACCAGATGAGTCAGTTGTGAACTGTGTGTGTTACTTAGGAAGACAAAACAGAGAACACTGTTGAACTTGCTGAAAACAGCGAGTACCCATTATCTTGAACTCCTGCCAGCTCTTTAGATACACAGTGGAAAGGGAAAAGGAAGGGCAGCCCATGGGGGAAGAAGCCCACTGCTGGGTTTAGGAAGAGCAACTTCTTCCCAATGTTTTGTTTACACAAAGAATGGCACTGTGCCACTGGGATTCTCTCAAGCCATTTTAGACAAGCACTCAAAGGGGAACTAAAATCAGCTACTGTGTCTGAGCTTTGAAGTACTGCACAAATCCATCTGATTATATGAGTAGGCTATCCCATTAAAAGCAGGTTTAACTAATGATTTCTCAAAATAAATAGTTAACAAATATGTGAATGTGGATGTTAAACATATATGTTTATCTAAAACACCTGAAGGAGGAAACAACACCTTTAAGTAGTAAGTCAGCTCACACTTACTAAACAGCTTTTATGTCCCATACAGCTGTATCACTGCTAGTAAGTGTCACCTCCCTCCTCCCCACCACTCAAGAAACCTGTAATATGTGCCTTTTAGTATCTGCATGTTGCACAGCAGCCTGAAAGGAAGCACAGCCAGCTAAGAAATTAGTACTTAAGGCCTCTTACGAGATGACTCCCCAACCCTGGAACTCTTGATTCATAGTGGGTTACGCTGTGCTGGTAAAAGCTGCAATAAACCTGTGGCAGAGCAGAGTCAAGGCAGTCACAAGTCCCAAGTTTCTTAGGTAGAAAGATATTTCAGGTAGATTTGGAAAACTCCAAGATACTCCAAGATCAGTATTTGCTCACCAAAGGGGCAAACATGGTTATAATAGGAAGAAAGGTGTGTGTTTTGTTTGCCTTTTAATTATTTGAAGATTAAATACCCCATGTTAAATGTTTGCTGATGTTACGTTGTTGAAGATGTTTCAGGTACGTTCTGCTCCAACTGAAGTTACCCTTCCTATTTAGATACTCAAGACAGCCAGTTTGACACATTGTTATTGGAAAAAATTATATTTTGGAAGAACTCACTACAGAAGGTGACAGAATTCCAAAAATCAAATTACATGAAAATATACATCGCAATTTTCTTTGTACATTAGGTGAGGAAAACTCTGAAGTAAAGGCAAAGAATATGAAGGGCCACAGGAGAGAGAAAAGGGAAAAGGAGGGAAACTATTTTTGATACCAAACCCAGAAGTTAGTCATTTGAAAGCCTACAGATGTGCATGCTTGAACTCAACCTTGAGGAAAAAAAAACACAAGCCTCCCCCACACACACCCCGTCCCACAAGCAGGCAATGAAAAAGGCAGAACAAAAAAAAAAATAAAAATCACCCATAAAAAGCAGCTCATTCCTATCTTGGACTAACTTAGTCAACTGAACTTCCAAATGAAAGCGCTTAAGTCCCTTGGAAGTTAAAAATCCAGCAGGCTGCTCAAGGGTGCTCCATGGCCAGTTTTATTGCTATACCCAATTCAAGAAGTATGTGCAATTGGGTTTTAAAAAGGGGTCAGAAGAAAGAAAAAATAAAAAAGCACCTTTGAGACTACAAAGGGCATCATAAGAGAAAACACAAGTAATTGATAGCAAATCCTGTCAGGGTTTAATTAGGAAAGTTTCAAGTTCTTATGGGGGAAATAAGAGGGAGCATACTTCCAAAAACCAGAAAAGAGATACTAAACTTTAATAAGCAAGAGATTTTAATTAAGCCTCAGTGGGTCAAAGGAAAATTAAAGTGGGGGGGAAAAAAAAACAAAAACAAAAAACAACTTTATCTTAATTGGTTTCAGTTTGACATGCTTCACAAATTGTTGTTTTTTGTTGTTTTTTTTTAACTGATAGGAAACAATGAATAGGGAGAGAAAAAACCTGCTTAAAATCTTTAGAATTTACACAATTCTATTCCTAACTACAGACAGCATTATTTGGTACAATGTGTATTTGTGGATGTACATGAACAGTATATATATTATCCGGATCATGTTGTGCTATGTACACATCTTTACAATTCTTCCTGAAGGTTAAAGCAGTTCATTAGATTTCAAAATGCGTAATCATCTTGTGTTGGCACTTGTTAGGCTCTTGTCAGCATTGATAACTGGCATGTTTTATTGCAGCCCAGTTCCAGCCAGTGTTTGCCAACTTGTAACAACAGAAGTCCAGCAATAGGTGGGTAGAGTGCAGGAAAAAAACAGTGCCATGTTTCTCAATTGAAGACCTACAAAGAAATCACAGTTATTAAAATAAAACCCCTAATCATCCTCAATTATTTTAAAGATGTTAAGTAGTGGTTCAAGCGCAAGGAAGATAATCATTACTTGTTTGAGAACTTTACATACCTCTAAACAGAAGATGCATAAATCCCAAATCACCACCTGAGAAAGTCTTGGGTTAGTTCAGCAAACTGTGTATCCCAGCCCAACTATCAGACTTTCAGGCTCCTGTTGCTTGTCAAGCACGTAAATAGTGTGTAAACATTTGATTATTCACACATAGGGGTAAAACCATGTAGATTTATCACTGAAACTCCTGTGCATCACTTGCTGGGGACGAGGGATGCTGCAGTACAGTAACA